AAAAAGAATTTTACGAGAAAAGTACTCTGACTGATAAATTGCTTTTAAGTTAAGATTATATAGAACCAAATGAGCTATGTATATCTTGAAAAAAGTTTGTGCCTGTAGCTTATTGCTGCGGAGCTACTACACTTCCTAAATCAATCTCATAGTCCCTCTCAGAAAAACTCGTTTTTAAATTTCGACTTGAAATTTCGCATAGAGACAGACTTAAACAAGAGAAGTTTATTGTGAAAGTTTTAGGCCTTTTGATTGACTTCTATACTAAAATAAGAACATTAAATCTGCTCATTTATACGAGTGACGTAAAAGACATACTATTATCATAGTTCTATCTTAGAATAGTAACAGTGACAAGATCTGTAACTTTCACAATAATCTATTCTAGTTAAGACCTGTTTCTATACAAAATTACAAATCGAAATTTGAAAATGAATTTTTTTTCTTGAGGATCACAGCATTTATTTAAAAAGTGCAGAATCTTCACAGCAATAAGCTAAGGGCACGATCTCCTTTCAGAGTATTCATAGCTCATTTAAATCCACATAATGCACATAATCTCAATTAGAGATGTGCGAGACCAACTGTAGCTGCAGTTTCGGTCACTGAGATCATAAGAAAAAGGGTGTGGATGTGAGTATGGGCCTAGACCTGGACCACCAGAATGAGAAGTTGCTGAGACCGGACGCGACTGAGACTACGAGAAAAAAGTTGTTCCAACCGCAACTAAAGATTATAGTTCAATATTCTCTAGTTTTAAGCAAAGTATCTTATAAATCATCAATCAGAACATAATTCAAAAGAGATGACTGAAAAAGTGCCAGTCATCGACTAAATCAAAAAATAAGGACTAAAGAAATTTTTTTTGATGTGATATGAATAAACTCTGGAATAGTTTTTTCTAGACTGTGATCGGAACGGATACCAAAAAGGTCTGCCCCACAAATTGAAGGACTTTCATCGTTAGTTCTTTTTTAGTTTTGATTTTTTTACCTTTTGGTTGTTGTTTTGTTTTTTGTTGTACTTGTTGTACAGCAATTAAAATTCCATTTGGTGATCTTTCTTTATTGATATTAGTCGATAATGCATCAATTAGAACCTTTTATAAAGAAATCGGATCATTTTCAATCAATGAAAAATAACAAACAAAAGGAAAAAATTCTTTTTATTTTTACTTTTAAATCAGGTTTAGCTCCTAAATTCTTTTTTGCATTATTAAGAATCGTTAAAAATGATTGATAAACATCATTATCAAATAAGTTCTCTCTATAATCATTATAATAATGAAGTAGACCTTTTAATGATTGTTCATTAAATGTTAATTTTGACATGATATAAGCAAGATCACGCCATACACAAGGATTACCACTTAAAGAAAAAAATTATTAAAAAATAAAATAAAATGAAAATAAATAATTTACTCAGCTGTACGAAATATTTCCAATAATTTTTCTACTAGACTTTCTGTTTGTTTTTTTTTACTAACATATTTAAATAAAAAGTCGATAACAGATTTAAAATCTTCTTCATTTAATTGACGTTGCTCATCTAATTTACCGTCAACTAAATTTGAAAATATATCTGGTAAAATATTAAATAATGCTTCACCATGTTGTCGTTTAGCTAATTCACTAAAAAATGATGTAGCTAATGTAGCTATTTCAGTATGTTTATCAATAATACAAAATGCTATTTCACTTATTTGACCGTTTGGCTAAATAAACAAATTTAGATAATCATATGTTTTTGTTTTAATTTATATATATATATATGAAACTAACTTTAACCATTTCTTTGAGAATTAAATTTGAAATTGTTTTTAATGCTGCTAAACGTACATTATCTGATCGATCACGTAAACAACCATAAACATCATCTGAATAAGCAGCAAATGCTTATGGATATCTTAAAGAAAATTTCTTTTGTTTTAGAAATAAATTTTTTTTTTGCCAAAAGAAATTTACTTTAAATAAAAATCGTTCATTAAAACCATAATAGCAAAACGAACACTTTCGAATGTTGAATTTTTTAATAAATCAAATAACATTTTTGCATGTGTTTCGTATAATTCAAGTGATAATACCATAAATTTACATAAACATGTTGTTGCACTTAATTGTAATATTTCTACATGATATTCTTTTGGATTAAGAAGAATCTTGAAAAGAAAAAGAAAGAAAAATTTTGAATTTTATATAAAGGAAAAGAAAAATCTGAATAATATCATTGTTGATTGATTTCCATTAGACTATCCTACTAACCCTCAATCTAACCTATCACTCTCACCCTTTTCCTCAACTTTTTATCTCGCCCTTGATGGTTCCATCTAACCTTGTTTCTCCCTTTTTTTTAATGTGTTTAAAAATGACTTATTTTATTTTGACATTAGGGAAATTTTTTCGTTTTAGTAGCAGATTCTGCACCTCTTTTTTTTAATCTTTTAAGCAATTCTCACAAAATTTTAAAGTTCAATACATTTTGAGCAGCATTTTCAAAAGGTCAACTTCTCAGAATTCTATTACATGTGACCTACAAATAAATCGCCTATATAAAATGTATATCAGCCATTCAAAAAATACCAGTATATTTGAGAAAATAGGTTCTTTCTAAAAAGCTTTGGAAATTGGATGTCTAAGAGGACGAAAATCAGTTCAAACTGGATACGGGGAAGAAAGTCAAAAAAAAAAAGATTTTTATCCGGATATTCATTATAGGATAGTCCAAGGGGGAAAGTGCAGGCACCCAGCACCCAGCACCCAGCACCCAGCACCCAGCACCTGCTCAGCACCTACAGCACGTATACCGCATTCCACTGTGAGCATCTACGGTACCTACGGCACTTTCAGCATCGTCAACAACTATTCTATTGTCTTAAGTACTTAAGATAATGAAACAATGATTGCAGGTGCTGAAGGTGCCGTAGGTGCTCATAGTGAAATGCGGTATAGGTGCCGAACAGGTGCTGTAGGTGCTGGCAGGTGCTGTAGGTGCTGGTAGGTGCTGGTAGGTGCCGGTAGGTACTGGTAGGTGCTGGTAGGTGCTGGTAGGTACTGGTAGGTGCTGCTAGGTGCTGCTAGGTACTGGTAGGTGCTGTAGGTGCTGAGCAGGTGCTAGGCATCTGCACTTACCCCCTTGGGATAGTCCCTATTCATAGTAATAAACAGTTCTAGTTAGCATAAAACTCTTTGCCAGTTACTGACGTCAAACTGTGATAGAGTCCTGCGGCTCCCTAGATAGCGCGTATATGATACATTTATAGACTCATTGATCACGAAACATTAATATATTTCTAGCTATGGGTCGATTACAATCTTGATGATCTCTGGATTGTCTGAGCAAGTTAATATTTATTAAGAAGTTCAATTTGAACTAAAAAAACAAGAATATACGTATTTACTTGTTCAACAATATTTTTCATACTATGGGTTATTTAATTTCAATCTGAATTTAGACAGAAAAAAGAGCACTTAATTTCAAATTGAAATAAGGGACTAAGGGACTAAAGGGACTAAGGGACTAAAGGGACTAAGGGACTAAAGGGACTAAAGGGACTAAGGGACTAAAGGGACTAAGGGACTAAAGGGACTAAAGGGACTAAGGGACTAAAGGGACTAAGGGACTAAAGGGACTAAAGGGACTAAGGGACTAAGGGACTAAAGGGACTAAAGGGACTAAGGGACTAAAGGGAGTAAAGGGACTCAACGGACTAAGGGACTAAAGGGACTAAGGGACTCAAGGGACTAAGGGACTAAAGGGACTAAAGGGACTAAGGGACTATGGGGAGGTCAAGAAAAGTGAGCTCGAAACTGCGTAAATTTCCAATTAGGAGCTCACCAAAGAAACCAACTGTGTTGCCAGAGGCATCGTCTGAGATGCTAGAGGCATCACCTGTTATGCTAGAGGCATCACCTGTTATGCTAGAGACTCACCTGGGATGCTAGAGGCATCACCTGGGATGCTAGACGCGTCATCTGGGATGCTAGTGGCATCACCTGGGATGCTAGTAGCATTACC